ATATATATATATATATATATATATATATATATATGCATACAGACTACAGCAGAAGGCCTGAAAGTATGGGAGATTGCAAATTGTTTGCGATTTCCTTTCAGGCTGTCAATGCCACAGCTGGATGAAAGGTTTCCCAATACCTCCACAAGGATCGTTAGCGCTAATTGGATGAAATAAAACATTTTTAAAAGTTTCCTCACATTAGAATCTGCTGCTGAAGCATTCGTTCTATGGGGACTAGAAGAGAACTTCAAAAAATAAAACTGGTGAGAACAAAAGCAAAATAACACAAAACCAGAGCAAAAAGTCCTCTGCTGGTTGAGAAGTAAACTACAAGCATGGCCCTTTCAGTCAGCCACCGTGATGTGGAGAGAGCAGCCCTCCAGGGCAGAGAGGTGTTCGGGGCCTCCCTAGTTGTATTCTGTGTAGCTTGGTGGCATGCTGAACAAAGATGGAGAGAGAAAGGAAAGGAAAGAAGAAGGGATGGAGGAAGAGAGGAAGGGAAAGAGGGAAGAAAAAAGAAAAGATCCACATAAATACACAAAAAAGCAACAAAACAAAAAACAAAAACAAAAAAACCCAGAGCCCTGAGCTGCTGGACAACTACAACCTAGAATCAGGTTATGTGCAAATGTAGCAATTTTTGTCCAAACAAAATACATTCTGAAATTCCTATTTGCTTCTTTGCACACAGAATTACATGGTGCAGAAACTATGCTTGAGAGTTCACCCCAACATGGTGGCCCTCGTTTGTTCCAGTGCATGGACCCTGAGAAGAATGAAGGTCATCCTGCAGAGGCATGAGCATCCTCTGTGCAAGTCGTCTGTGACACCTGCTGCCCAGTTCACATCCTACATCAGGCTCATGGCCAGTGGGTTGGTGTCAGTCACACCCTAGCTCCTCTAATCTCTGCTCTGTAGGGCTCCATCCACAGGAATGGTCTTCCTTCTGCATGTCAGTCAGACATTTGGTCCCAGGGACTGGCACAGAATGGCACAGAATGGCAGGATTTGTTCTAGGAGGGCCTCTTTACGCCATGGCAGTGTTGGGTCTAAAGAGGAAGCCCCATCATATTACACTTCCTCCATCTACACACAAATAAGACCAGAGCAGATGTGAAAAATGTAAGCAGACCTTAGGGCCTGGAAGGGACAGGGACAGGGAAGCCCAGACTGAGCAAGAAAGCCCTGGAAGGAAAGGTAAAGATAGAGAAGCAGCCAGCACATGATAATGCGATTTTAACAAGAAGCTGTTCCTAACAAAGGCCCGTGCCCTGGCTCATCATCTGCTGAATTCAGCCACTTTCTGGAGTCTAGGTTCTCATGAGCCTTGGGGGCTCTCCTCTGGGGCTAAGACCCAATCCTGGCTCATCCAACCCCCATCATTGTTTATACGATGTGAGACCATTGTCTGTTAGGGCCCCTTTACTGTTTCTTTTATCCAAATCTCTACAGAGATAACTACCTTCCACCTTCTCCTTGAAAATGCCATCCCATCTGTTCCTAATATGTTCTCCATGTGAGAATGACTCTTTCTTATCTCCTAGGAACTACTCCGTGCAGCTAAGGGTTAGGGACAAAGGGAACAACCAGAGAACACTAAATTCATCACTGCATTGTGGTAGGGCTTCATTTCTGTATCTCTCATCAAGTAGCCTGAAATCACAGCATTTTTAGAGCTCCATGAAATTCCCTTATAAAGCAGATCTAGTAATTCTGGGGTGGGAGGCAGTTAGATATTTAACCTTTGTTCAAATATGTCCCAAAAGGACTTGGTGGAAGAGGTAGGTTTCCTGAGCCAGTGAGTAATGAGAAATTCACTGGGGCCATGGACATTAGCTCCCCAAAAGCAGTGGAAGATGGGATGTTTTCCAGGCCCTGTGTGGGTCCTTAAATCACACACTTCCTTTGACAATGGCCTGACTGTCAAGGCCCCCTCCTCAACATTTTCTGTCCTATGGGTATTTCCTTGAGGGTACCATCTATAAACAATGCACTTTTAGAAGAAGGGTCACCAGGGACAAAGGAATGGACACCAGCACCAAGATGATCTTTCCAAGAACCTTCATATGCAAAGGACAGGAATGTTACCATGTTGCCTCGCAGTTGGCTCGATGGCCCAGTTTGAGAAACTTTATATAAGAAGGCATATTAAATCAAAGAGAGGCAGAGAAATCACTCTTCCCAGGAAACTTCTTAACTTCTACCTCATGCTGACTCTTTCTAAAATTCTAGAGAGTAAGATCCCCCATTATAATCACTAATTCTCTGTTACCCTCTTACGAGTGACACAGTGTATAGACACTGGAAATTAAGTTAACATGTCAGTAGACAGGGTAATCACGGACATAGACTCATCCCGTCTTACACAAGACATAGCCAAGATTCTTCTCCTCCTCAGTTTCTGCAAGACTTAACCCCAGAAGCCAATCAGGACGCATCTCAATGCTGAAATCTGTCTGTTCAGTAGGTGAGTTTTGCACATACTGCTTCAGTGGACAGCACCAAGAGAGAACAGCTAACCACAGTAAATGATATTTTCCATGGACAAATCACATGCATCTCCATGACTTCAATCTCAGAAAGCCATGTTTAGACAAGAAAAAACATGTCCTTCTACCCACCAGCTCATAGTACGAAGGCACTCCAGAAAAGCTCAGACACAGTCCATGCCAGGACAAAACAGCAGCTCTGCCAGAGTACAGGAGCCCACTGGCAACTCCCCATGCCATGGGCAGAGTGAAGGCATTCACACGAAGCCACACTTGTCCTTTGGGACTCATTAACTTCAAAGATGACTGTTCACACTGAGCCCCCGCCAGGTCTCCAGTCACCATGGCCACCAGGTTCGGGCACACACAGTAACCAGGCCACTGTCCTCAATCCCGGTGACTCCCTGCCTCAGCCGCCTCTCACGCTTACCAAGTCCTGAGCCAACGAGGCCAATTTTGGGGAAACAGATCATTTCCCCAACCTCTGAGCGTTTCCCTAACACCACCACGTTCCCGGGGCAGAGCACTCAGCTCATCCATGAATCTTGCAGCCCAAAGAACCAGCGACCTCCGTGCCAGCTGTTCCAGAGCACACACCTGCACCCCTGCCCCTCTCCCCCAACAACCCATACACATCATTGTCAATTCATAGAAGAAAAACAGCTCCCTACCTGAGGGTGGCGCTCTCCCCCTGCCGGACCGTCACGTTGTCCATAGCTTTGGGGAAGGTGGCATCTCCGCTGCGCACGGGCACTCCTGTGGGTACAAGGAACAGCAGCCTGAGAGACACGACCACGAGGCACTTCCAGGGCAGGAACAGGTACCCACAGACCCCCATCCTCGACAGCCACAACTTCCCAGAACTCCGGCTGCGGCGCGGCACACACCCCCCCGGGCGAGCACAGGAAGTGGGTGGGGTGAGGAAGCGAGCTCAGGGACCCAGCAGTGAACTAGAGGCGACCGAGACGCGCGGGAGGAGAAAAGCGCGCAGACTCCTCTAAGTCTAATATTCCTCCCCCAAATCCGGCTTCGGGTAACCAATTTCCACGGAGGACAGCGAAGGGGGCTTCCTCGGTGCTGCTTCGGCCAGGGAAGATGGCCAAGAAAAGGGAAACGCAAGGCAGGTGCAAAGGAGTGGGCACGTCTCAGGAGTCCCTTCTTCCCGTTAGCAGTTCTGACATGGCACTTTGGAGTGGAGTAAGCACTTTGGTACCATAAGGGGACAGGGGGTGGGTCAGATCCGGCTCCCCAGAGGTGGTCTGCAATTCCTCAGTTCAAACAAGGGGAAATCCAACACTTTCTTTGTAAGTTTCGGAGGAAGGACCGCCGGCAGAAAAACAATCCGTAACAATAGCCAAGATGGAAAGTAGAGCACGCAGAAGGCGGCTCCGCCAAGCTTCGCGCGATCCGGATCCAGGGATCCTGCGGCAGCCTCTCGGTCAACTTCCTCCCAGCCGAAATGCGCGCTGCAGCCGCTGCGATCCGGCGGGTCTCGGCAGGGCCAGGCGCCGCTGCGGCGACCGAGGCAGGAACGGCCCGGCTGAGCGCACCGCTGCGGGCCTTCGCTCGCTTCGTCGCTCGCTGGGGACGGCGAGGCGCAGCCGGCACCGGAGCCGCGCGGACGCCAAGCTCAGCGGCCGCCCCCGGCCTCCGCGCCGCCTTCCTCCCGGGAGCAGCCCCGACGCGCGCGGGCCCCGACCGCCGGGGTTGTCATGGCAGCAGCTCCATCACTGACCGCCACTTTCTCCCGGGCCAGCCGCGAGCAAGCGGGCGGACTGCGCGCTCATCCCGGCGGGCGGGCGCGGGGCGCCGGGCGCGGGCGCCCACCTTAACCCCTGCCGCGCCACGCCGTGGCAGTGCACCAGCCAAGGCGAGGAGTTTAACCATTTCCCCCTTTGAGAAGCTGTCACTTCCAAATTAAGAAGAAAGGCAAAGTTACCACACAATCTTAATAAGCCCAAGACATCTTAATAAGGGTCACAAACTAATTAACTAGGAAAGGAAAACCCTGCAGCATGCTTGCATGCACCTTTAAAATTATCAGATTAAATCCATTAGCATTTAGAGTAAATTTACAGTGTTGGAAGGATGTTTTAGAATAACCTAATTTTTATTCAGTAGTCAATGCCCACCCCACCAGCTCTCCACCCCCCACCCCCACCCCCACCCCCACCCCATGGAATCTACTTTAGAACACTGGAGACTCAACATCAACATTTTAAACAGAGATCATCCATATATAAAATAAATGCAAACTCACAGAAACCCCTTAGTATGTGAAACTGGCAAAATCGCATCAGAATTTTGGTCAAGTTCAGACATTCACTTACATTTTTATTCTTGTTTTGTCGACCTTAAAAGATGCTAGTCCTGCAAAAGTGCTCATTCAGATGAGTGTGAGCTACTTGCTTTATTTATACCATGGACTCCCATGTTCCCTGGGTTTCACAGTTTTGCAAAGCTGATTTCATCTTAAGAGGTGTGTTTTTCAAAATCTTGAAACCCAGGGAAAAAAACTGGATTTGCCTCAGTTTCTGTCACTTCTCTACTCTGGCTCCTGTCAGTCCCTGCATATGTACATTTTAAATTTTTCCCTTAAGTCCTCCTCAGACCAAATGTGCATTTCCCTTCCTAGGCCTGGCCCCTGAGCTGGGGAGAAGCCCAGAGCAGCCCAGCCCACAGAGCAGTGCCAACATGAGCATACTCTCTCCTCAAGAACTTCCAGGTCTGAGGCCCTGACACTGACCCAGATTCTCCCAGGGGATAGAGAAGAGGCAACCAAAGGTGAGTTTGTTTCTTCCTCCCTCTACTTTCTATCAGATCCAACAAGGAAGCTGGTTTTATTCAACAGCTGTTAAATAACAGAAAAAAATGTTCTTCCCAAAGCCATCCAGCGAACACCAAAAAGATTGAATCATTCTAACTATAAGAGTCTTAGTGCCAGAGAAGTCCTTTCACCTTGCAGGTAATAACCACCACTTATACGTAGATAACATGTGTGTTAGAGATGAAACAAGCATCTCACCCTCCTACTCTCTCCTCTAACTACTTTAGATTGGTAGGGATAGAGGTAGGGTGGGAGCCGTACTACAGGATGACAAAGACATACTGAGCAAACGTGTTTTTCCTTTTTAATAGTAGAAACTGATCAACCAGAAAAGTTGGGAAACTTTACATTGAAGATCTCAATTAATCCATCATTAGGGTCATTTTTTTTTTTTTCTTCATCTCTGGTGACTTCTCTTGAGATTAAATTCTCAGGGAAACCCATCTGCTATTTTTGGCCAGTGGGGACTATTTGATATATAACACCAAAAAAATCAATTGTCAACTTATGGCTGCAACAAATGACTTTACTATTGGGGGGGGAGGGGAAGCAAAAGCAAAAACAAAAAATGACATCTATGGAAACCAGGAGAGTTTTGTTTATATTAAAAAAAAAAATCAAAGAAGGAAAACATATTTCTGCATCAGTGTATTCTTGCAAGACCCTATTTTATGTCCATTTTACAATGGAAGTTTGGAAGTAGTAAGTAAAGAGTAAGATTGTGTTTGCTGACTTACAGTCTGCTGAATTTGGGGTACTTCTTTCCCTAAAGCCAAGGAGTTACCTAAACTATCCATATATATATTTTACCTGTCCCTTATGCTCCCCCACCAACCCTTGTGTGTAAACACATCCCCACAACCTCAGCTGGAAATAATTACAGTGGTGGGGAAGGGAGAGAGATTCCTTCTGGACTTTGGAGTCATTTCCCTACAGTTTTGGAAATGGCAGGGATAATTCCTTTTATAATAAATTCTAGTCCTGGATCCTGCATCTAATTCCCACGTAGGTACAAATGAGCATTAGTTTTTTGCATCTGGGAATGTGGATAATGACAACAACTGGCCTTCCCAAAGGACCTACATACATGATTAACTCTACAGGAAAATACTTAGAAATCCATTTAAGGTGGAAGATGCTTTATTAATATACTTTGCCTGCCACCACTTCATTATTATGACTGGGCAGAAAAATAATTCTTCATAGGGGCTCTTTAAGACATCCAGTTTATACCAGTCTGCATGCCATTGATCTAAGACAGTCAAACCATCTTTGTCGCTGGCCGAGAAGGGAGAGTGCTGAACTGTAGCATCAGGCAGGAACCTCAGCAGAGCTCGGGTAAGGCTCAGGGTGCAGAGAGAAAAACCACTTGGAACCTCCTACCTGCCCTCTGGGTCCAGGGACACCAACTTTATTCAAAAATAGGAGTCTAGAAAGTGGTGAAAGACCAGAGAGGACCATGCAGTTAACAAGGCAGAATCCATTTCATTTGAACTCCTTGATGAAGTTGTTTGAATAGATGAAGATCAAAATCAAAATCATATGTCACCTCCCTGCCCATGCTCTAATCCCTAAATATAACCAACACTTAGTGGCTTATCTTATATCCTGTCTCGTGCTTCATAAAAACTGCTGGATTTATTTTATTTTTCCCAGCATATCCAAGTTAATGAAAAAGGGATGACAGTCAGAGCAATTTCATTATTTGTGTTCTTTAGAGAAACAACTTCCTTTCTGCCTCCTGGAAAGTAGTTTCCTAACAAGAGCCCACCTCCACCTTCTTCCCCCCAACCCCCGTCTCCCTCTCCTTCCTCCCTTCCCTCCTGCATACACATATACTGTACACATAAATCAAGTTGTCACATCTTGTGTCTGTGCTGACAGCTGTAATTGCTTCAGGTTATAAAAATATCTATAGGACAATGCCTTTCAAGCTCTCTCTCTCTCTCTCTCTCTCTCTGTCACACACACACACACACACACACACCCCAAGCAAAAGAAAACAATCATACTTCCTTTAATGATCCTTTGACTGCAAAGGGGGAGGGGATCTTGCTGTTCAGACCTTGGAGATCTGGCAGGCAGGTGAGGAGACAGAGATAGAGACTTCTGGCAGCAATAGCATCTACACACTAAAGCAGGGTTGGAACTGAAAAGAAATTCCCAGTGACAGGGAAACCAGTGGCATGGTTGTTTTTGTTTTACTCTCTTACCTACAGCGAGCAAGCCTGGGTTAGCTACTAAAGAGCCATGAATATTACACACACACACACACACACACACACACACACACACACACACAAAAGACCACAAGAAGAGCACTAGCTTAAGAAATGCCAGTTCTGCTTCTCCTTCTCTAAAAAGGCTAAAGGCCCCCCTCTCCTGGTGGAGATTCCAAATAGGAGCGCAGGCGGGAAGATGAGAAATGCAGGGCAGTTCGTGTGCCTTGGCACAGAGCAGACATTGAAAAGTTTAATCAGAAAGGGTAGTGTGGATCTGGATAAAGAGCTACCTCTAGGGGAGCAGGGGTGGGCTGGACTCGGAAAAAAATGCATGCCGTTCTTTTCCACCTATATGAATATAAGATCAAAATAAAATCATTGTTCATCTGGGCTAGAGTCCAGCATGTTACAATTTCAACAGATAGAGCAAAAGAGCAACTTGAAGAAGGGGAAGAAGCCTCCGAGGAGAAAAAAGGGGTCACGAATAGAGAAAATAGAAAAGGAGAGCAGGAAGAAGTGGCAAAGGTTAGGCTATCTATGGACTTTGAAAGCCACGCAACTTTCTAAGAGGTACATGAAGGGGAGAGATGGTCAGAAGAATAATCGGTAGGTAGACAGAAAAGTAAGGGAGGACACAGTGAACGATTAAAATCAAAGTACCTTGAAAGCAAAAGCCAGATGCCCGAAGGGGAGCGTCCCATTCTGCCATGGGGCAGAATTTTTCCTTACCTAGGTTTTGGGTCATAATAAGAATCACAGAATGATCTGGTCAGAGGGGACCTTGGAACATATTTCGTATAACCCACTTATTTCATAAAGTGGGGGATTGAACCCAGGAGGGAAAGGTCATTACCATAAGGACATAAAGGTCATAACCGGTAAACCAGATCTACAACTCAGGATGCCTGGCTCCTGTTCCAGTAGAGCTTTCTGCTACACGTATCGGGTAAGGACACTGTTTCAGAGCTAACGAATAAAATATCTCCTTTGGCTGCTACACCTGTGGGCAAGAGAGAGCACTACCAAAGAACGACTACTACTGCTCAGAATACCTCTGGGTATCCAATTATTCAATTGAATTCAGGGCATTCAGTAAACATTGACAGGTAGATTCTGAGCTCTTCCGATGCAGCAGGAATCTTGCTGGAGTTAGTGCTACAAAAACAAAAGGCATAGTCCCTGCCTTTGATTTGCTTATAGTCTAGAGCTGTTAAGTTTGACAGTCATCTTATTTTTATTTGCATTCATGATTTTTGAACTTATAATGAACTCAACCCCATGCTCTCTATAAGTCCTCGAGAAGATTCTGATTGGCTAAGAGAAGCAAGCTGGAATCCATTTGACCCATTAGCTTGTGCAGATTTCCAGGCACTGACCATGGTTTCCCAAGCTTCATTTAAAATGACATTAGGAGGGGAGGAGGTAGACTCAAGGATTTACAAACATAATTGAGAAATGCCCGTACAACAAACAGGTGTTTAGTGCACGTGCAATCCCAGCTGTGGACTAGGCAGTGCACTTAAGCTTTACCCTCATAAAGCACACGGTCTAATAGGGAAGATAGACATTAAAGAAATAATTTTACCAAAGAGTAGACCCAGTTGTGATAAGGAGGACATGAGAGAATGGGTATGACAGAAGGTTCTCATGGAATCTGGAAGATAAGGAAACGTCCCCCACAAGAAATGTTTTTTA